AGGAACTAGAGAAGAAGTCATGGAGGAATGCTGTTATAAGGAATTGCTTGTTCATTTCCCAGCTGCCCAGACTTCCAAAATAATCACACAGAAACTGTATTAATTGGATCACTGTTTGGCCTATTAGCTCTAGCTTCTTATTGGATACCTCTTACATTTTAATTTAACCGATCTCCATTAATTCTGTACATCAACATGAGGTCATAGCCTACCAGCAAAGTTTCAAAGCATCTGTCTCTGGCAGGGCTCCATGGCTTCTCTCTGGCTCTGCCTTTCTTTCTCCCAGCATTCAGCTTAGTTTTCCCTGCCTAACTAAGGTCTGCCCTGCTATAGGTCCAAAGCAGTTTCTTTATTCATTAATGGTAGTCACAGGATACAGAGGAGAATCCCACATGACCTCCCCTTTTCTGTTTAAATAAAAAGGAAGGTTTTAACTTTAGCATAGTAATATTACATATAACAAAACAGTTATCAAGCAAGAATAACAGTTACAATATTTATATCTACTTCCTATCTATTATTCAATCATCAAAGACTACAGAAAGATATAATATTACCTAAGTAAACAGAAGTGCATTGTAAGCAACTTCCAAAACTATAGAAATGACAGAGACATATCACAGCTTGGATAATCATCCAAAGATCTTCTGTAACAATGGGACATCCATCTTCAGCCTACAGGCTCATAGTATCCAGCAGACTTTTCCATGATGCAGGAAATTCAAAGACAGTTCTTCCTATATTGGCAGTTTGCCAGTCACATTTTTCTGTGTCTTCCATAATGTCTAGCAGACTCATTCGTGAAGCAGGAACCCTGAAGGATCATCTCACCTTTAAGCAAGTTCAGCAGTTATTTCTCTGTGGGTCCTGCATGTCCAGTTCATCAAGCAGTCCAGGCAAGAGCAGTTTCTTGCCCAAATGGCTAACAAACTCCATAAGGAGCCTCTTCGATGCCCATCTTCCTCTTGATGTATATTGGTGCTGCCTAGAGCAGATGTGTCTCATGGTCATGAAAAGTCCTAAATTCTTAAAATACGTTAAATGCCATATTCTGTAGTCTTTGAAAGGTTTGAAGAATGCCTATCCATCTGAAATACATCTCTGTACATCTAGAAAATCTAACTAACATGACTACAAGCTTGACTATTATAGATGACTATCTATTAACCTATATTTCTTAATTATACATTACATTTATGAGCTACACAAATACAATACCTTAATCAAGGGCAGAAATATACATATAACAAGATTGACCTTAAATTTGTATCAATAGAGCAAGATCCATACCAATGCAAATCTCTATAGCATATCCCCCTTTAAATGTAAAGAAACATTTATAATCAATATTGGGAATATGGGCGTAGTTCTTCTCCAAACTGCTTCCTACTGTTTATTGGGTTGAAGAAATTTGGGGGGGGGAGGTATTCATAGCAACCTTTCGGGGGATTTTGGTGCATCAAACCACATTAGTCTTGAAGGATTCCACAGGTTCTCATCCTATGTGGAAACAAAAAAGAACCTCTTTTCCAAACCAACATATCCTTATACCCAAATTTTGAAAGCAAGATACCTTTAAAGTATATATGTTGGTTACTTAGCTTCTTCACAGTCAAAACATTCAAAAAAAACCACAATAATATACATAATCCAGACTCTGTATGGCTTATTATTTTTTCTTCTTTTAATCTAACTGTCTATGCTCTGTCTCTTTAAAGGTTTTATTTTATTTTTTAACAATTTATTTCTTTTTATAACTCTCTATACTCCTTTTCTTCTCTCTCCCAAGCCTATGTACACTGTGACCCATTCAGAGGTCTTTTTTTTTTATCTGTATTTGTCTTTATTGCATATCTGTAATCCTTTTCTGACCAGAAGCACTTCTTAAAATCCAAAGCCCTTCTTATGAAGGTAAGCAGTGCCATTGCTAGGGAAAATACAGCACTGCCTGCTTGCTCTGCCCAGTCCAGCATGACAGAGCTGTCTGCTGCCCCTGAGAGCCATGATTACAGCCCAATTTTTAGGCACACAGCCAGTCTAGGTTGCCATTAAGCAAGTTGTAGCACTCTGTTCACAAACCCCATTTAAATGCTCCATAGCCAGACCTCCAGAAAGAGTCAGAGTTTGCATTGGCATCATGGCCCAGAAAGCGGCATTTCAAAGCTGCGGCTTCTTTTCTGCTACCACTGAATCAGGAAAACCTCTCTTAAAGAAGCCACAGCATGCAGCTAGCAAGCAAAGCCCATTTGGGGGTGAAATAAATGTGGCTAAATTTTGTTTTTTAGTGTCTAGAATTCCTTTCCAAGACCTCTAAGGTTTTACGTGAATTTAGTCAACCACGTTGGAGTGCCAATTTTTAGTAAGAAGGCCACTTATTGGTTCCTGGCTTGCTCCCCAAGGCTTTCTCAGCTGTCTTTTCAAAGCTTTCAGGACCACCAGCCCAGATGGGGGCATCGTCCATAGAGAGCTGGGCCCTCACATATCCATGTCAATCAAGAAAATGCCTCAGAGGCTTGCCCATGGGCCAATCTGGTAGGAGTATTTCTTGATTGAGGTTTCCTCTTTCAAAATGTCTATGTCAAGGTGACATAAACCAGCCAACACAACTTCCTGATAACCATAGGTGTTAGGAGGCAGCTCAGCAAGCTCCTGTTAAGTTATCTCTCCAATTCTATGATTTAACAATTATTAAATAATTTGTTCATTCTTATCATAAATTCTAGCTTAAAAAAACTATTTCCGTGATTCAGTTAACAAATAATAAAGTAGTGATTATTCCAATGTTCAGCACAATATTCTTACAGCCCCAGAGGAAGAGAATGGTCTAACTCTCAACACCTTGTTAGATTTCTCTGGAATCTTAAAAGGTGGAGGAACCTCCCCACCCCAAACCTGTGAAACAACAGTGGAGCCTTTTGTTGTTCTACGGTCAGACACATGCATACTCCTAGCTCTGTTATCCTGCTAACTCAATTGAAATAAAAGAACCCTTATAGCTCATTCTGAAATTCATTGCTGAATAACTATTGTGGCAAGGCAGAAACACAGGCAACTGGCAGAACACAGATGTGGAAGCAGGAAGTGCATCGGTAAGAACGGACAATCATTCCCTATTTGAGCAAGACTCCACCCACTGCAATATAAGTTAGATGGCAGGCTTACCAGTTGATCACTAGACATGATTATATGGCAATCTAGAAGTGGTGCCTGAGCTCACGGAGCCCCTTGTGAGTCGTTGTCTGTGTTCTGAGCTATGGTTAGCAACTACACTGTGCAATTTTACAAGTGCAGCCCAGGGAAGCAGTCATGACTTCCACAAAAGTTTGCAGAGAGAGGCAGCTTGTCATTTGACCAGAGCCTGTGATACCCAATGACCCACATGAAGACAGGCCCATTCTCACACCTGCTCTGTGATGAGCATAGGGTGTTCTTTGTTTTGAGCAAACAGAATTGGCTTATTGGGCTGAGGAGATAAGGACTTATGAGATTGAACCGCCTCCTTCCAACTTTGAACAATTTCAAAGGTCAGGGCTTAGGGCTTTGGAACAACTTGTGCACCTTCACGGTCTTGGGTCAGGCTGCACACAGACACAACCTCCCTTCTAGTCTCCATCCCACGTCCCACGTGTTGAAACTATAAAGTAACTATGGCAGAGTGCCCGAATGCCCTTCGGGGTGCTGTCGCCCAACTTAGCAGGTAGCCACTGTCCCTTCGTACACCAAAGGCTAAGACCAAAACGCTCCACTCATGTAAAAGAACAGCAGAACATGGCTACAAACGTCACAGCTCCAGCGCAGGAAACAGAGGGTATCTGCTCCAGATAGACACCAAGGTCGCTGTTGTGAATGCTTGCGTCCTCCCCTTACCAGCTGATTACATGTTGAGACTTCCGTTGTGACAGTTGAGCTATAGTACTTCCTATCCCAGACAGACTTAGAATCCTATCTAATTAGACTGCATTAGAATAGGGAAACCGGGGAGCTAGACGGAGTCTCCCAGAGTGGCATGTCGTATATATGGTTTGTATCATTTGACTCAAATAGACAAATCAGGACCCCGACTACACCCCTTCAGGCCTTAAACTATCATTAATTACATTTTAAAAGTTAGTTCGCCACAGTAAAAGAAAAAGATGAAACTGAATCGCTAACAAACCAGAAATGTGGGTGCCTTCCTGAAATGACAGGTCTAATACACTGTGGACACAGCAGCATCTGGAGCCCGGCAAACCATCCAGACAGTTCTGCTTTCCTTCCAGAGTAAATTACTCCAGCCGAGCCTGGCTTGGTTTAACTGGAGCTTTGGGGGGGGGGGGGGGGGGGGGGGCTATTGTTTGGGTGGTCTGAACCGCAAACTCTGAACTACAGAGCAGACTACATTCCCCGAAGCCGTTTGCAGACAAAGTACTTGACACTAGCTATTCGTGAACAAAAGAATTAATGAAGGTTAGGGATATAGGTCGGTTGATGAAGTACTCAACTGGTATCCAGGAAAACCTGGGTTTAATCCCCAGAGCCTCATAAAACCAGGCATGGTGATGACTGCCTGTAAACTCCAGCATTTAGGAGGACGGGCAAGAAGGTCTTAGGTCCTGGCCTACAAACCGAGTTCCAGGCCAGCCTGAGCAAAATGAGATCTTGTCTCAAACAATAAACATTATCTCATGACAATTCTTAGATATTCTGGTGACCCTCCTCCAATGAAAACCTACAGAATGATGTCACCAGTTTATGATAAAGGGAGCAGAAAACTCAGAACAAGTGATTGAACAAAAGTGGCTGTAACAAACATGAGTTTCAGACTATCAAACACTGGGGTGCGACATTATGGTCCCTTAGCAACAGTTCCCAGTGACAGGCTTTCTCTGAGCCTGGCCACCAGGTCCCCCTCCTCCAAACCCAGGCAGCGCCCGCCCCCGCTTCTACTGATTGACAGGCAGCACAGCTACTCCTAGGGGCAGATATTTTGCCGGGTTGAACGACGAGCCTGAGGGAGCCAATGGCGTTCCAGTAACAGGGTGGGCGGCGACGGGTCAGGTGCTCTTCCCTGGGACTCCCGGCAGGTGAGCCTACGGGGATTCGGGACCCGCCGGCGTCCCTTGCTCCCGGCCAGCTCCCTGGCCCTAACGCTCCGGAACCGACCGACCACAGCGCCGGTGAGTCCCCGGGAATAAGTGGCCTCCTTCCCCAGGCCCACACTGGGGCTATCACCAGGCCGGGGGGCCGGGGGCGGGGAGGGCCTAGTAACCCCGATGGTGAAGAGCCGGTGCACCCACCCCACCCCTCGAACACCTTTCTCTAAGCCCACTCCTCTTCCCTGCCCTCTGCCCTTTGGTTGGTGCTCTTGATTGCACAGGCTGTGGGGGTGGGGGAAGCTGGGGCAAGGAAGGACTGGGAAGGCCAGCTTGATTTGCATCCAGATCTAAAGGTTTTCAGGGCTTTGTGCCATTTCAGCATAGAAAAGAAAGAGATCTGTCCATTTTTCTCATCCCCACCCCCACCTGCGCTATGTCACCCACGTATTATGTTGGTTTTTATTGACAAACATTTCTGAGCTTTAGACAGCACTTCATGTCTTCTCAGCTCAGTTTGCCCCAGGAAAAGAGTTTTCTTCTATTTACTGCAATTAACTGAATTTCCTAAAATAGATGAAAATCAGATGTTCCGTGCTATTGATTCTTTCTTGGCGTTAAATTATATTTGGTTGATAATAAGTTTCCCTCGTGTTAGTGGGATGGGAGACAAAACTGGGGGAAAGAAATAGGGGACGGAACCAGGATGGGTCACAAAGGTTAGTCAGGATACTTGCAATATCCTGCATACAATTAACTCCCCCATTGCAGCCCTCATTAATGTTGCTTCCAGAATTGGAAAAAAAAAAAGAGTGGCATTCATGATACAATATTAAATTTATATTTGGAATCATTGTCATGAGATCAGTGTTTAAAGGAGTTTCAAGTTTAGGTGAAACTACAGTTAAAAACAAAACATATCTTAGTCTGGCAGTGGTGGCACACACCTTTAATCCCAGCCCTTGGGAGGCAGAGGCAGGCAGATCCTTGGAGTTCAAGGCCAGCCTGGTTAATCTACAAAGTACGTTCCAGGACAGCCAAGACTACATAGAGAAACCCTGTCTTGAAAAACCAAAAAACGAAACAAAAAACAAATCTTACCTTAAGCTCCTATGCAAGCAAAGCCAGCATGCCACACAGATTACATTCACCTCAGTCTAGAATACAGCAGGGCAAGACCGGGCCTCTTCTGAATTATGATAATGGCTTCACCGTGTTTGAATTAGGAAGATGCTAAAGCTGAATATAAGAGATTTCTTTGCATGAAGCCATGATGAGAACTGGTCAGATTCGCACAGGATCATTTATCCATGCTTCTTCTTTGCATTGACTTTTAAGAAATGTGCACATGTTAAAGAAAAACAAGTGGGGACTCAAAGAAATTGAATCTTGGGAAATGGTTTCTCGATGCTGACTGATTGTAACCTGGATCGAATTGGAGAAGTATGCTTCCTTTATACCTAGTTTAGAATCTGTTTGTGCAGTGCACAGAACCCGAAGATTTGATGGTTAACAAATTAATATAGATTACATTTTCTAAATATAGTTGAAAGTTACAAAGTTTATTTCATTCAAGAAACCATGTTTAGTTGGGCAGTGGTGGAGCACACCTTTAATCCCCTCACTTGGGAGGCAGAGGCAGGTGGATCTCTGGGTTCGAGGCCAGCCTGGTTGATAAAGAGAGTTCCAGGACAGCCAGGGCTACACCAAGAAACCCTGTCTGGAAAAAGCAAAATCAACCAAACAAAAAAGAAATATTTTTGTTACTTTTCTCTTTATAAAAATACCTTTTAAGCCGGGCGGTGGTGGCGCACGCCTTTAATCCCAGCACTCGGGAGGCAGAGGCAGTCAGATCTCTGTGAGTTCGAGGCCAGCCTGGTCTAGAAAGAGCTAGTGCCAGGACAGGAACCAAAAGCTACAGAGAAACCCTGTCTCGAAAAATCAAAAAAAAAAAAAAAAAAAGACAGAAGATTCAAGCATAGGGGTTGACTATGGAAATGTATATTTTATGTGTGTGTGTGTGTGTGTGTGTGTGTGTGTACGTACCACTATTGAATAAGTCGATAGTATTTTCTGTTGCTAAGTTTCTGTATTTGTCCTATTCATAATAAAGTCAGAAGTCCCTTAACTATATAAAAGTTTCTGGGCAGAATTCTGGGTTGGGCACGTAAGATGGCTCAACAGGTCAGGTGCTTGCAGATAACCCTGACAGCCTGAATTCACTCCCGGGGGCTCACATAGCAGAGGGAGAGAAGTGGCTTTCAGAAGTTGGTCTCTGACTTCCACAGGCTCATTATGGCCTGCGTGTGTATAAATGCACCACACACACACCAAATAAAAAGGTAATAAAAATTTGAAAGCATTCTAGATCATTCTGAAAGTGTCTCTGAAAAGTCATATATATCAATCATCTTTTTAAATGTCATTGTGGAGCCTATTTAAATGATTTCTTTAAGGAATATATGTTGATGGTTTAGTGGAAAGTAAAAAGTTGTTTTGTTTTCTTTTTAAATGGCACTTAAGCTTTTGGCCCTGGTGTCCTGTTGTCAAGTAGAGTTCTGCACCACAAGTTTTCTAGGCTGTGACTCAGCTTGGAAGGAAATGTACAAATCCCCGTTGTTACCATTAACTTCTCTATGTTTGTTCTACAGATTACGTTATGCTGAGCTGATCAAGGACTTTGAAAATGATTCCAAAGTTTCTCGTGCTGTCTTGCACACTGGCTGCCCTAACTCATTCAACTACATTTTCTCTCCAGCCAGAACAGCAGAAGGTTCTAGTGGTTTCCTTTGATGGATTCCGCTGGGATTACTTATATAAAGTTCCGACACCTTATTTTCATTATATCATGAAATACGGTGTTCATGTGAAGCAGGTCACTAATGTCTTTATCACGAAGACCTACCCTAACCATTACACTCTGGTCACTGGTCTCTTTGCAGAGAATCATGGGATTATTGCAAATAGCATGTTTGATCCTATTCTGAACAAATCTTTCTCTTTGGAGCACATGGACATTTATGATTCTGAGTTTTGGGAAGAAGCCACACCCATATGGATTACCAACCAAAAGGCAGGGCATGCTAGTGGTGCAGCCATGTGGCCAGGAGCAGACGTAAGGATCCATGAGACGTTCCCTACCCACTACCTACCTTACAATGAGTCTGTTTCCTTTGAAGACAGAGTTGCCAAAATCATTGAATGGTTTACAGCCAAAGACCCCATCAACCTCGGTCTTCTCTACTGGGAAGAGCCTGATGACACAGGCCACGATGTGGGACCTGACAGTCCCCTCATGGGGCCCGTCATTTCAGATGTCGACTACAAGTTAGGGTATCTGATAAAAATGCTGAAAAAGGCCAAGTTATGGAATAACGTGAACCTAATCATCACGAGCGATCATGGAATGACCCAATGCTCTAAGCAGAGGGTGATAGAACTGGACCGCTATCTGGATAGAGACCACTATACCCTGATCGACCACTCGCCTGTAGCTGCCATCCTGCCAAAAGAAGGTAAGTCTGACCTCATGCCCATCCGAGCCTAGCACTGCACGCGCCCAGCGTTTAAGCTCCTGTCCTTCAGAAAGTCAGTGCACTTGTGTCCTGACAGTGTGCTAAGATTTAGTTCTTAGACTTGGAAAGCAAAGATCTCTTTTCCCCTGCCTAAATACTGACACCTGGGCTATAGGTTTTAAGCATTTTAGAATCACATAGTATGATAAAAATAATTATGACCCCCCCCCCAGAAGAAATGGATATGGCCTTTGAATATAATTACAGTCATCTCTTGAAAGCCTGTGACCGTCCATAGACCCTTAATGAAGACCCCTTTACTAGAGAAGCAATAGAGAATAAGAAAGAGAAAGTGCGTTTGTCAATCTCGGGCTTATTTTCATTTCGGTCAGCAAGTTTTAACAGTACCTTACATTCTTTGTAAAAAAAAAACCCCAGTGTTGGCTACATTTTAAAGACAGGTAAACCTTTAACACCCAGAAGCTGCAATATGTGTAGCTGAACGTGCAAGGCCCGCCTTTCCGGATGAAACTGTAGCACCTTGGAGGGTTGGACTTGTGTCAAGGGAGAGAACAGGATTTTGAAACACTGTGCTACCTCACCAGTGGGAATTGTGCGCTCTCAGGGGAGCTAAGCAGAATCTATTATGTAGCCACATGGAAGTATGCGTGTGTGCCAGTACACACAGTTTGCAACTCATAGGTCTTACCAATCCATTAGATTCCCTCAGACAACTGGAGTGCTATTGTGGTTTTCTCTTGTTGAAGTGTGGGGACTAGAGAGACAGAGGACAAATGGATTTGATGAACCAAAGTTAAAGATAGTGGCGAGGTGTGGTACATTGGAAATTCTGGGCTATTCTCCAATTCCCCCAATATACTGGGGGCCTTTCCATTTCTCAGGCTGCTTGCCATCTCTGAACATCCTCTCCCTACCTGTGACCTCCACATACCATGCTCTTCTGCAAAGATTCTGTCCCTACATCCGTAGTGGCTGACTGCCACGTGTTTAGTCTAAGCCGTGATCTCATTCGGGTTTCATAAATCCTTGATATTTGGTAGCATCTATAAGACAGATGATGTGTGTGCACCTGTCTGCATGTTTAAGTCTTCAGAAAGTAGGGATTCCTGCTTCTCTTAAAGGCCCTTTATTCTGTAAGAGAGCGTGCTAGTGACAGAGGAGTAACCATTGCTATTTCCCCCTCGAGATTCTTTCTTCTTCAGGGTACGGAGTCCACCACGCATGACTCCTCTGTTTCCTTGTGCTCGCCCTCCCGGCCCTTTTCATCAGCTGGGAGTCTCCTGCGTCGGCAGGAATGGGAGTCTTGTTCTGGAAACCTCTCTCTTCCTTCCTCCATAGGGAAGTTCGATGAAGTCTATGATGCCCTGGCTGGTGCCCATCCTAATCTAACAGTCTACAAAAAGGAGGAAATACCAGAACGATGGCACTACAAGCACAGTGATCGAGTTCAGCCAATTGTGGCCGTGGCCGATGAAGGGTGGTATATTTTGCAGAATAAGTCAGACGATTTCATGTGTGAGTATGTGATTGTATTTCTTCCCATTCTGCACCGGTTCTTGCTAACGTGGAGGCTGCGGATAATACAACAGTTTACTTGCTGTTTTTCTTAACTCTCTGCTACTTTACTGTTGAAGGGTCTGTATCGTATCAATACTCACCTAGAAATGTTTCTTAAGATATGTACATGGGAGACATACAAGGTTGAGAATAGAGCGTGGTGGCAGACATGCTTGCCTAGCGTGTAATATGTTAATAAGGCCCTGGGCTTGATCCCCAACTCTGGGAGAAAAATATAGAAGAGTGTTGCTTTAGATAGAATTGGGCTGCTGCCCTGTTCAGTGACTGAAAGCGAAGTAGTTGTGTGGCCGTGTGATTGTGGTGTTCGTGTGGCTCCGAACAGCAGATAAGTACATTCTGGTTGCTGAGCATTTGTGCCCACACATAATCTGTAAATCACTATTCGATCACATCAAGGAAGCTGGGGAGGCTGTGTCATGGGAATCATTTCTGCCTTCATTTGTTCCGTTAACAAACTCTGCAGGTCTGAGCAGTCACTCAGAAAAGGTCTGCTATCTTTGAGGAGATATATATGTGTATGTGTGTGTGTGTGTGTGTGTGTGTGTGTGTGTATATATATATATATATATATATATATATATATATATATATATTTAACATCCATTTAGGGAGACATCATAGGACTTTGGTTCTGTGAACTACAATTGCTCAATGGGCTGCTCACATTTATTTTTTGATAGAAAAACCTCAGTGATTTTGTTTCGATTACATTATGCTCATTTAGCCAATGGATAGGATTCTACAAGTTACTGAGTCCAAAGGCAGGCTTCTCTAAGGGCATCCTTTGGCACAACAGTATGTAGATCAGCTGGAAATGGCTGAAAAGGCACATCCTTGAGCCCAGTCTACATGTGCTGAATTGGACACTGGGAGGACGTGGCCTAGCCCTCAGCCTTTATGTGGCTCCAAGGAGTCTCATTCACAGTGGCTTCTGAGAACCATCTCCCTTGGGTACTCATTATTAAATACTGCCCATTAAATCAAACATTTATTTTAGCAACTACCATTATTTAAGATTTCCTCCTAAATCTGGTTCTCTGGCACATGTTATATGAAAGAATTATTACTGCTTTCTTATATGACTTAGAATCTAGGTCTCAACTTCTCACAGAAATGATGGCAACCACCCTTAAATCAGTTCTGGATAATATTATATAATGGCTTATTTTTAATGTTATTATCAGTTAAGCAGATGAGCAAAGTACCTTGTCTGGTACTTGCTATATTGGTTCATAAGCCCAGCATCATCCTTCCTTGAATAAACTGAAAAGAGTTATGTCATTTAGAATGACTTCTGCAGGTGGATCACATTGACAGGAAGACTTCAGATTACTTTTGAAATGACAGATCAGTGACTTTCAGAGAGTGGACTTGAATGTTCACTTTCTGCATTTGGATGCTGTTGTGAATTTCCTTGTAGCAAGGATAAGTAAGAGAACTGGAGTCATGAGTCAGTTTTTATTACTCTAAAATAAAAGGCTGTCAGTTTTCATAGGTCACCATCTTCACAGTAACCATCGCCATGTCTTTGCTCTGATACTGTGTCAGCCAGCCATTCAGTTTTTAATAAGTAGCTCTAATCCTTTGTTTTTGAATGGAATCTCTGGGTATGCACGCCAGAAGACCGACTTCTTAAGTTCTCACTATGCCTACACGTTCTGACCTGGTTTTCGTAGTGGGTCATAGCTGTGACTAAAGGGTGGATTGCTGTACTGTCTTGTGTTTATGCATTGCTTTCACTTTCTATTGGGGATTATGGGGTTTGCTTTTACTGTTAAGACTAACACCACCTTGCTTTAGAATGATTAGACATTGTAGCTACCCTGTAAGTGTTTGCTAGACATCAACCAACCATAGACAGACCATCCACCTGCATTTCCCACCTTGACTTGACCCAGCTCTGCATGTTCCCTTCCTTCTTTGCTGTCTAAGGGAGTAGAGACCATAAGAAAGATTTGTAACCATTTGATTTCTTGAGGTGATTTGTGGGGTTGACAACAGCAGAGATTAGAAAAGATGATTTCATTTTTGTAAAGTCAAATGGGATAAAATTTGCACTTGAGGTCAGAACATGACCATATGATAAATCTTTCCATTTGAATGCCATCTGGTTGGCTAACTTATTCATGCATTTTCTCTTTCACAGTAGGCAACCATGGTTATGATAATGCATTAGCAGAAATGCATCCAATATTTTTAGCCCACGGTCCTGCCTTCAGAAAGAATTTCACAAAAGAAGCCATGAACTCCACAGATCTGTACCCGCTGCTCTGCCACCTCCTCAATATCACCGCCCTGCCACACAATGGATCATTCAGGAATGTCCAGGATCTCCTCAGTTCAGCAACTCCAAAAGTTACTCCTTACACACAGAGTACTACACACAAGCCAGGCGAGTATGAACCAGAGGAGTCCTACCCTTATTACATAGGCATCTGTCTTGGCAGCATTATAGTCGTCGTATTCTTGGTAGTTCTCGTTAAGCATTTAATTCAGAGCCAGGTGCCTACTTTACAGTATATGCAGGTGGAAGTTGCTCAACCATTGCTGCAAGCGTAGTGCTTCTTTAACACGGAATGGCATTTCGAAGTAGAGGTTGCAAAATTCTATCAATGGTGAACCTCCAACTTCTAGGAAGCTAATTCCTAGACATCTGCACAGGCCATCAAGCAGTTACTCTCGGGCACACTCACACCTACCTACATACACACAGACAGATCCAAACGCTCCTGTGTGCACACGATCAAAGATGTCGGTGAGAGTACATCTCCCCTGCTTCCTGTGGTTTAGGGGGTAGATCCTGCTGTACTGGGGTTGGCATGTGGGTACAGTGTACAGACTTAACAGCTTTGCACTTTTGACAGTACCTCACACGTTGCACTTTCCTATCCCACGAGGTACCTTTCTCTGAAGTGCACTTTATCACTATGCGTAGTAACTCGGTTGACAATGACAACCTTTTGCATCTCTATCACCAAATACTAGCATTTCCTGTACAGACGGAGGGAAATTTCGAGCAATTCTCGAATTATGTAGAAATCTGTCTCCTTGAATGGGAGGAGGAAGAGAAAGTGAAGGCATTGAAAACTTGAGGGGACCAAGTTTGTGGCCTGCCTGTTGGAGAGATGCATTTCCAGCAGCAGGTTGCCTTGTGGGTATTTCTAGTTCCGTCTCCTCACCAAGGAGCAAAGTTTTCATTTACTTCTTTCCTCTGGTAGATTCAAACACTGAAATATGCATTCTAAAGCTCTTCCCATTAATCGTTGCTTCTTGTTGATGAGTCCTAGTCCTGACTCCATCACTAGGATGCCATGCTCTAGACCTCCTTTCTGTATAGTGTAGCAGGGGTCCGAAGGGCAGAGACCAGGCACCGTCTCTGCAGTGTTTTTATTCTGCCTGTCATTATTCGCATATTTGCTAATAACGCTATTAATCACATTAAAAATCAAGTGAGATTTAAAAAAACAGCATTTGGTTTTGCTTATTTGTTGTTTCTGATGGCATGGAGTGAAGTACAAACATCTTTTGACCCCGAGACTTTCAAAACCCAGAGTTGCCTAAGAGGACAAACTGTATTAGGTGACATAGGCCACCTAACCCTTGGAGAGGGGTCTATGGAGCCTGGAAAACAGATCAAGCAGGACCTCACACGAGATGTGCACTCTGTCACTGCAGTAACAAAGGGTGCCTCCAGTGGGGGGTGGAGTCTCTTGGTGACAAGAGGATATGGGAACACGCAGAACTCGGATTACTTGATTTTGTTTCAGGAAATAGTTGCCTAGCCAGCTTCCAGGTGTTGACTGAAGTCAGAGGTAAATCCCTTTCTAGCCATGCCCCTGCCCAGCTCGTCACCTGGGGTGACAGAGGACCCGCAAAGAAAAGCTTTCTCTAGAAACGACACCACGAAGCCCACAGAGCACGGGGTGATGGTCGTCAGCATATTCACACAGCTGCTAGCTACTGGCTGCAGTGGCATGGTTATTTCCGAGCAAAGGGACCGGCTATGGGTGGAAAGTAAAGTGACAGAGACTGGATTTTAACATGTTCCCTAAGATGTGGTGAATCCTTGACAAGGATTACGCTGCTCCTCCTAAGTAAGGTAAAGGACACTAGTCTATAATTTTCATGTCAGTCGAGACCTCTGAATAGGGCAGAAGGGAACAGATGTAGATAGTTAGGATTCCAGAAGATGCTGGGAGGTCAGACGTCGTCGGTGGCGAATGGCTTGTGAGTGTACACTCTGGCTGTCTACATCCCTAATGTGTGTACACTGACTGACGGCGACTGTGAATGCTGCAGAGACACCAGCACAGTGACTTGGAGGATTAGCTCCTTTCAGAGCACTGCTGTTCAGATGCCATACAAGTGTTCCTCCAGGTGTGTTCAGTTCCCTTTAGAAGGCGCTATTACCTCAGAACAAGTGATATAGCGCATCACAGTTTAGATAGGTTTGATTACTGAATGGTTTGTTACAGAGACCCTCATCCCGGTAAAACCATTTCCTGAGGGGAAAAAATCCTGTCATTCGAAACCCTTTGGCAGCTTTATTTTGTAGCTTAACCAAAATGTCTTCCTGGTCCAGCTTTCTGTAAGGAGCATGAACTAGCCCTTGGCAGTAACTCTAAAACTGCCTAATTTGATAACTGCAAGAAAGAATTTGAATAGTAGTTTCAAGCTCTTCTTTCTCCTCAGTTCGCTCAGAGCCTCTTGCTCCTTTACACATTTTGTACAATTAATTGGTTAAGATTTTTTTTTCTGTAGAATAGGTTTTTACAATGTTTACTCCCTCTGGCACCTGGCAATTATGTTTCAATGCTTTTCTAAATTCCAGCTCTGTAAAGTTAGCATCCTATGAGTCTTTTTCTTATAAGAAATTATTCTGTCTAGAAAAAAAATCTAAGAGACCTAGCTCTTGTGGCTGTCAACTGTTTCCAGCTATTCACTGGCTGGGGGGTGACAGCCTCTATTTCAGTTACACAGCTAGGAAGGGCCTAAGGGATTTATTCAATGATCTAATTTAGCTAGGACCCTAACTCTCTTTCAGAGAAGTAATTTGCATGACCTCATGCCAAACCTAGAAGCAGGACCGGGGTTCCTGATTTAGTTTATATGCAAAGTGGAGGTCAGATTAATGGTCCTTAGCCGGAAGCCTGTTGATCCCATGCTAAGCAGGAAGTGGCTAAGGAAGTTTTCTGCACTGGCAAGCTCCTTACTACCAGACTTGACTTTCAATTATGCAAACATTTTAGCTTCCTTCCTGATTGACCAGAACTGCAGGACAAAGGTGGTCTCAAGTGCTTGCTTTCTTGTCAGTATTTCAGTCTTCCCTCAATTCACCCTGGTAACTCCTTACTATGCGGTGGACAATTTTATACTTAAGAAAAGAGAAGCTTCTAAACCTTGGTCTGGGCAGATGGCTTGGCTGGTAGGTACTTGCTGGACAATCATGAGGCCCCGAGTTAAACAGGAAAACTCTGGGTGTGATCCAGGCTTGCAATCTTAGCATTGCAGCAGCAGAGACAGGAATCCTTGAACCCATTGACCACTGAGTCTAGCCTAAGGGTAGACTCCAGGCAATCAGAGACCCTGTCTCAAGGAAAGTAGGTGGGATTCTTGAAGAGTCAGGATGACGCCTGAGGTTCTCTGACCTCTCTCTATATACATACATAACACATACACATGTACACATGCACACAAGCACACATATGAATATGCTACACACATGAACATGCATACACACATACTACAAAAAAAACCCTCCAGAAATCATCTGATCAGAAAGGACAGGATAGACATGCTTAGCCCTTTTCCTCCACAGTGAACACAAACATAACCCTGGAAATGAGGCAAAAGACTCTCATTTTCTTTTAAGCAACCTGCTTAGGGACCCAAAGGATGGATGGCAAAACACAGCGGCGGGGCATCACGTGTTCCTTACCCAACAGAAGGTGGCACTGGCCCCTATTCCCAAAGCCCAGCCTAGCCAGATGGCAGCTCAAGTAGGCTTCTTCCTGGGACTGAAGACAAGCTTGTCTGTATCAGGTAAGACAATCTCACTGACCCCCACTGGGTGCCTGTTCAGAGTCAACCCTCAGCACTGAGGTCCTTCTACTGAGATATGGCCAGCAGAACCTGTAAGAAAAAGAAAGAAAAGGCAAACATGTTTGCAAAGAAGAAATAAACTGGTCCCTGTTTTCAGGGCACATGGTCATGTCTGTAGAAAAATCACAAAGAAACAAGTATCTAAAAAACTCTGAAGACTAGTGTGGCAAACTACAACATCAGGCATACTCATACCAAGACTGCTGGTATTTCTGTAGATTCGCAGCATGTGCCAAGGCCAGTCACAATTCTGTATATTAACAACATGGAGAAGCAAATTCAAAATGTAATGCTGTTTACAGTCACCTCATAAAATGAAACAGGTGTAAATATAAAAAAAATCAACTGGATTTGAATCCTGAAAACAATCAAATGCTGATGAAAGAACTTGAAGGAAACTTCTAAGGTTAAAAAAGATACTCTGTATTCATAGGCTGCAAGACTCAATATAGGTCAAGTCATCCAAAGAGCTACTGTAGCTCTTGATCATCTACCTCTCTGAGGGCCTCTATCTACAGACAAGCTTATCCCAGTAGTTATGTGGAAAGTCCCAGGCCCTAGGAGAGTTAAACCTAGAAAGGGACAAAGGAGAATTATCCTACCTGATTAAATCCTGCTGTCTCAATGTGATAATCCATGCAGCATGGATTTGACACACTGGGCACATAGTTTAAGGAACACTAGAGTACTGTAAGTTCATCCACGTAAATATTCCTGTGACCTCACAAAGGTTCTAAAGCTTTGAATGGAGGAAGGACTTTACAAGTAAGGTACTAAAGCAACTAAGCATCCACGGGCAAACAAACTCAACCTTGTGGAAGCCACAGCTCAAAACCTGGGCTGGAGCCATGGCACTTGGCTCCTGATGACCTGCGCTGATCTCCAGCAGCCACCCCCATAGCTGCCCTCTGACCTCCATGTGCATGCTGTGGCATGCATGCATCCCCCCCCACACTAATTATGAATAAAACTTTTTTAAAAAGTAGCTCAAAATGACAGTACATTTAAATGAAGAAAAAGGTTTCAAAGCCCAGAATAAGACAAGATTAGTTCTTAGACTTCTCAACAAAAGTACAATCCATGGAGTAAACACTAGGGAATGAGGGTGTAGCTCAGCTGTACAGGAATTCCTGAGCATGCAAGGGGGCATGGGTTTAGTGCCCATCAGGGAGACAGACAGGCACACACACACACACACACACACACACACACCCATCAGAGACAGACGCACTCACGTGTACGCGCACACACACAAATTGGTTGGGGGGGATGAGACTATGAACTGGGAACTCAGCACTTACCAACACACACACACACACACACACACACACACACACACACACAGAGGTGGTGGGGGCCTGAAACTGGGAACTTGGCACTTACCGAAATGAACTATTTTGTTTTTCTGGAAAAGCTCATGTGGAAAGAATGAAGACAAGCTAGTGACTGTGAGAAAAGCTTCTGCAAAACCACACACCCAACACAGCACTGGCACATTCAGTTTCAAGGCAGGCGATTCATGGAGACTTTTCACCAGAGACCAAATGGGGCAAATGCCATGTGCAGCTGCTTCGCATCAGTAGCCACTGCGAAATGCAACTTAAACCACAGAAAAGTAGCAGTAGCTATGAGAATCGCTAAAATTTTAAAGTGTCATCAAGAGCCATGGGATGCACAGAAACTAGAGCACCCATTTGCCCCTGCCAATATAAGCAGAAAACACACTCTAGAAAAGAGCAGTTTCTAGAAAGCCAATGGGAGACCCAGTGTTTATCCTCCTGAGCTATTTATCGCAAAGAAACGAAGACATCTTCACAAAAGCCAGGCTCGACACATACTCATTCTGGCTTTATATTGATCGCCAAACCCTGGAACTGAATACCCTTCAAATTGCTGCATAAACAGTGTTTTAAAATAAAAAAGATTGCATGGAGAAGTAGCAATAAAAAGTTTATTGACGTTTACAATGGGTTGGATGAACCTTGAGGAATAGTGCTGACTGCAAAATCTAGTGCTCCAAACTTTTACACACGGCATTTCTGAAATGATATCATCTTAGAATTAAAGGGCAACTATTAGACAAGGTGGAGGGATCCTTGCGTTGGAAGTGTGTCATACTGCAGCTAGCTCCAGATGCCCTGGGTGGACTGTTTCACAGCGCTGGAGGTGAGGTTGGAGGGCAGTTTCTGGTGAATTCTCTTCCTGGCTTGTAGACTGGCGACTCCCCATAGCCTCAGGCACACAGGGGCTGGAGAGGGGAAGGCACTCTGCCCTCTTCTCTAAAGGATCTCATGGTAGGAGCTCCAGGTGGCCTCACTTTTGACACCCTCACTTGAAAATGTCACATGGGCTGAGGGCTCCAAGA